CAGGAGGGGTCAGGGCTCAGCCAGACAGGGCCTGCTGTCAGGCCAGGGTAGGAAGAGAGCCCTGTGAGCATGGAAGTCCGGAGACGGGTGACCCAGAGGCGCGCGCTGGGGTCAGAGTCCTTCCCCTTGGGTGGGCAGGCTCTGGAGGCTCAGGGCCGTGGCTGGAGGGCCCGGGGAGGAGCGGCGTGGGGCTGAGGAGGGGTGGCTATGGGTGGAGGTGTGCACGCAGGGAGGGGGGAGCAGATCCAGGACTAACTGGGCAGAAGCAGGGTGACCTCGAGATGGGAGCGGGGGGTGGGAGAACCCTCTGGGGGCAGACTGGAGACGCACGCTGAGCTTGCTGGGTACAAGGTGCCTGAGACGTCGGAGGGCAGATGGGCCTGGTCCTGGGGCCGCAGGAGCAGGGGTGTCAGCAAAGGGCGATGATGGACACGCACGGCAAGGGAGAGGAGACCACACAGGAGGGAGAGTGGACGGCCAGCCTCAGGCACTTCAGTGTCCCTGTCCGGGGGGAGGGGGCTCCAGGAGCCAAGCGAGGAGCGCTCCCCGGACACAGGGCTACCCCTGAGCCGGGGGCAGATACCTAGTGGGGCCCGTCGGGCGTGGAGCTGGGCCTTCCTCTAGGCTCAGAGCCCCTTGGCGCTTTGGGTACACAAAGTGTCACCTGGTCTCCTGGGCAAATTCAGGAGAATTGTGAGATTCTTGGGAAAGTGAAGCTGGAAGAATGCGAGAGTCATCGAATCACAGACAGTGGGGCGAAGGTGCAGACAGGGCCCCATGCCCAAGGCTCAGGGTCAGGAAGGAGGGACCCCAGCTCCTCTGCAGCAGTGCCCCCTCCCTGCAGGTCAGAGTCCCATAGAGACAGAGGGGCCGAGGCAGACGGCTGGGCAGGTGCTGGAAGGGACGGCAGGGCGAGGTTTCCCAGCCCGGCTGGGTGGTCCCAAGGAGACTTTCCCCAGCTGGTTCCAGCTCCAGGCTCAGGTGGTGACAGGCATTTTTTCTCTTCACTCTCTTTGCCTCTCAATGACATTACTCCTCAGATTCTGAGCCACAGCCCACACCCCGGGGTCCTGAGAAGGGGCCTGCAAACCCTGAGCACTTCCCTGAACCTCCTCCAGAAAGACGTGTGGCCACGGAGAGGACATGCGAGTTTCTCTGAAGGCTGTGGGACTCAGGACCAGAGTTGACACTCATACAAGGAGACAAAAAAATGCCATGATGCCCACCCCGCCACCCCCTGCCATGAGTCAAGGGAGGTTGCAGAAGATATTATCTTGGCCCAATCTGATTTGTAATGGGTACAAAGTGTCCAGGCCCACCCTGTGGTCATTTCCTTGCTGTTTGAGGTATATCAGGATGGATGGCTGTACTTAGCAGGAGTAAGAGCCACAGTGGTAGGAAAGGCCAAGGGGAAGCCTTTAAAACCACCTACTCCCATGGCCAAAATTGTCCAGCAAAACATACTGTGTGCCAGTGCAGTATCAGGGCTTAGAGCCACCTTCAAAGACTGTGACTCACCAGGATGACCTCAGCAACAGATGGGTCAAAGATGAAATGCTTAGATATAAATCCAACAAAATATATACAAAATCTGTTAGAGAAAAACTACATAACTCTGATGAACATAATCAAAGAAGATAATAATAAATGGAGAGATATTTCATCTTCATGGAAAGAAGACTCAGTATTGTCAGGATGTCAGTTCTTCCCAGCTTGGTCTATAGATTCACTGCAATCCCAACCCCAGCAATTTATTTTGTGGATATCAACAAATTGATGCAATGTTTATATGGAAAGAAAAAAGACCCAGAAGGCAACACAATATTAAAGTAGAAGAACAAAGTCGGAGGCCCGACTCTATCAGACTTCAAGATTTACTATAAAGCTACAGTAATCAGGACGGCAAGAGACTAGACAAATACATCAATGGAACAGAGTAGAGAGCCCAGAAAGAGACCCATATATGTAGTCAACTGATCTTTGACAGAGGAGCAAAGGCAATACAATGGTGCCAAGCTGGTCTCTTCCACAAATGGTGCTGGAATCACTGGACAGCCACATGAAAAAAATGAGTCTAGGCACAGACTTTACACCCTTAACAAAAATGAGCTCAAAATAGATCAGACAGCAAAATGTAAAGCATAAAACTGTAAATCTCCTAGAAGGTAACATGGGAGAAAACCCAAATAACCTTGGGTATGGTATTGACTTTTTGATACAACGCCAAAGGCATGAAAAAAGCAGTGGATAAGCTGGATGTCACTGAAATTAAAAACCTTCACTCTGTGAAAGACAATAGCAAGAGAATGAGAAGACAAGCCACATAATGGGAGAAAAATTTTGCAAAACACACATCTGATAAAGGACTGTTATCTGAAATATGCAAAGAACTCTTAAAACTCAACAACAAGAAAAGAAACAACCCGACCAAAAAATGGGCCAATGGCCTTAACAGACAGCTCACCAAAGAAGATACGCGGATGGAAAATGAGCATCTGAAAAGATGCTCCACATCATAGGTCATCAGGAGAAATACGAGTTAAAATGAGGTGCCACTATACCCCTATTAGCATGGCCAAAATGCAGAACTCTGACAACACCAAATGCTGGCGAGGATGTGGAGCAACAGGGACGCTCATTCGTTGCTGGTGGGAACGCAGAACGGTGCAGCCGCTTGTGAAGACAAGGTGGTGGTTTCTTGTACAACTAAACGTACTCTCACCATATGATCTAGCAATCGCACCCCTTAGTATTTAACCAAAGCAGCTGAAAGCTTACGTCTACACAAAAGCCTGCATGCAGATGTTCACAGCAGCCTTACTCATAGCTACCAAAACCCGGAAGCGGCTGAGATGCCCTTCAGTAGGCGAGTGGATAAATAGACTGTGGTCCATCCAAGCAATGGAATATTATTCAGACTTCAAAAGAAATGAGCTATCAAGCCATGAAAACACATGGAGGAAGCTTAAATGCATATCATTAAGTGAAAGAAGCCAATCTGAAAAAGGCTACAGACTGTATGCTTCCAACTCTATGACATTCTGGAAAAGGCAGAACTATGGAGACGGCAAAAAGATCAGCGATTGCCAGGGTTTGCGGTAGGGGTAGGGATGAATGGGTGGAGCACAGGGGATTTTAGGGCAGTGAAAATACTCTGTATGATACTATAATGGTGGACACAAGTCATTATACATTTGTCCAAACCCGTAGAATGTACAGCACCCAGAGTGAATCCTGATGTAAACTCTAAACCTTAGATGATTATGACATGTCAGTGTAGGCTCATTAATTACAGCAAATATACCATGCTGGTCGGGGGTGTTGACAGTGGGGAAGACTACATACCGGTAGGGGTAGGGGGTGTATGGGAAATTTCTGACCCTTCCTCTCAATTTTGCTAAGAACCTAAACCTGCTCTAAAAATGTGTCTTAAAAAATAAAAACTCAGTGGGATTGTGGTGACTGGCAGTGGATTACATAAACTGAACCAAGTCGTACCCTGCAACCCAGGTGCTGTACTTTGTGGTTTCTTTAGTAAGACAGACAGCACAGCCTCTGGGACGTGCTAGGTGACTACTGATCTGGGAAATGCATTCTCTTCAACCCCCTTTAGAGAGGAGGATCGGAAACAGTTTGCATTCACTTGGAAGAGGCAACAACGTAAGTTCGTGATCTTGCCCCAGGTTCATCCTCGTGCTTTGTGTCACAGCATAAGCCTGATGGGCCTTTATCATTGGGACATCCTGTAGAACGTCACTCTAGTTCACCGTTTTGATTACATCCTGCAAAGAAGACCTGGGGGCATTAGCTAGCAGTTCACTGGACGCCTTGTTAGACATATTCATTCTGAAGCGCGGAGGGTAAGTGACTCGGAAGGCTGTGGGTTCCGAGTGGGGTCAGAGCCCAGCAGGTGCAGGCGCAGGTGCTGGCGGGACCCGGGGAGAGTGGGCAGCGCATGGCATCTCCGGAAACCCTAAAGTGGTCGTGGAGGTGGTGGAGCGGGACCACGTCATCTGCAGCCCCACTGCTCAGCACAGTGTCTGCCATGATGCGCAGCCCTGGCAGAGAACGAGGCCCTGCCTGCGAGACCCCCGCGGACCGTGTGCTCCGAGCTGCCCGTCGGGAGCCACCTGGTACAGGGTCCTCACCTGTGCAACGAGGCAGGAAAAAATGATGAAAAGATATGAACACTGGAAAAGAAGGAGTGAAAATGTTGTTATTCATAGACGACTTGATTGCATAGAAATTCGCAAGGAATCTACAAAGAAACTACTAGGTTTGCTTATAGAGAAGAGTTAGCTATAAATCTATATATTAAGAATCACTATTGGAAATGAAAATTTAAAAATACCATTTACAGGGCCCCCCTGGTGGCGCAGTGGTTGAGAGTCCGCCTGCCGATGCAGGGGACGTGGGCTCGTGCCCTGGTCCGGGAAGATCCCACATGTCGCAGAGCGGCTGTGCCCATGAGCCATGGCCGCTGGGCCTGCATGTCCGGAGCCTGTGCTCCGCAACGGGAGAGGCCACAACAGTGAGAGGCCCGCGTACCGGAAAAAAAAAAACAAACAAAAAAACCATTTACAGTAGCATCAAAAATACCAAACACGGGGTTTCCCTGGTGGTGCAGTGCTTAAGAGTCCTCCTGCCAACGCAGGGGACACGGGTTCAAGCCCTGGTCCAGGAAGGTCCCACATGCCGTGGAGCAACTGAGCCCACGAGCCCCAAGACATGAAGCCTGCTCACCCAGAGCCTGTGCTCCGCAACAGGAGAGGCCACCGCACTGAGAAGCCCGCGCACCACGATGAGGAGTGGCCCCCTCACCACAGCTGGGGAAAGCCCACGCGCAGCAACGAGGACCCAATGCCGCCAAAAATAAATAAATTTATATATAAAACAAAACCCCAAACACCTAGGAATACATCAGATAAAAGATGTGTAAGACCTCTACACTGAAAACTGGAAACACGGCTAAGTTTAATTTTAAAAGACCTAAATTAATGTTCATGAACAAGAATTTGTAATATTTTAATAGTTTCCATTGTCCTTAACTTGATATATAGATTTAGTGCAATTCCCACCAAAATTCCAGTAAGCTATTCTGAGGAAATAGATAAGATGACTAAAATTTATATGCAAATTCAGAAGATCTAGGATAGGAAATACAATCTTTAAAAGGGAGAATGAAACTGGAGGACGCGCACTACGTGATTTCAAAACTCTCTATAAAGCTGATGTACTTAAGACAGTGTGGTGTGGACATAAGGGCGGATAAATTGAGCAACGAACGGGAACAGAGGCAGAAGGAGGCCTGCACCTATGGTCAGCTGGCAAAGGGGCCGTGTCAACTAGATGGGAAGGAAGGGCTATTTAACAAACATGGGAAAGACTGGGTATCGGTCTGGATAAAAATGCACCTTGCCCCCTTCTCGCCTCCACGCACAAAGTCAACGTGAGGTGGGTCATAAACCTCAGCATAAAACCTGACACCACAAGGTTTCTAGAGGAAAACGTGGGAACAGGTCTTGAGGACCTCACGGCAGGCAGAGGTTTCCTAGGGAGGAGCCAAACAGCACAGACCGTAACAGAAACACACGAGCAAACAGGACTTTAAAAGTGGGATTTCAGACCCTCTGGCCTCTCAGCTCCTGTGCTGATCACAGCTACCCTGTGACAGTGTCTGGGTCCCCCTATCAGTGCCATCTCTCCCAGTGGCTGTGAGCACCACGGGCAGCGGGCCTCGGGTCTGCTCAGAGCCCCACCCCAGTGCCCAGAGCTGTGTCCAGCGCCCAGCTGGGTGAGCAACGGGGTGGAGCCAGCCAGCCCCAGCCCTCCACAAAGACACAGGGCTGCATGGGGTGTGGGTGTTCATCTCAACCAGAGGGAGAAGTGGCCTGCATCCTGGAGGTTCTTAGGACTGGAGGTTCTGCGTGAGGACCTGGAAGTGTGGACGTGGCTGTGGCCGCAGCACACGCTGCTCTGGCCTGGCCTGACCCTTCCCAGGAAGGAGAGGCGAGGGAGCCTGGCATAGGCAGAAACCAGTGAGGGGCAGGAGCGAAGGGACAGGGGTCAGGGGGAGCCAGGCAGAGGAGGGGGAGGGGCTGGGGGCTGGGGGCCGCCCTCGCTGCACATTCGAGGGCAGAGTGGCCCCAGGGCTGTGAACTCCCAGACGCTCCGCGCCTGCAGTGGCTTGCGTGCCTGTGGTGTGCCCTTGAGTCTTCAGGGCTCGAGTCCTGGCTGTTTGTCCTTGGACATCTTGGTGCCCTAGTCCCGTGACCCTGCGGGCCTTCCGTGGAGGTCGTACGTGAGGATGTGTTTTGCAGGTTCAAGGTCTGGGCCCAGGGTGTGCAGTGTCAGGGCGCCCGGCCCAGCTGACGGTCACACACCCCATCCTCCAGCCCTGGGGAGGCCCGGGCGAGGATCCGCTCCCTGAGCTCCCCGCAACAGAGGTGCAGTCAGGGAGCGGGGGGCCTTCCTGCCAGACTCCTCCGCAGCCCGGCCCCACATAGTGAGGACAGATGACCAGAGGCGTCTTTATTGAACATTCACAGGCCAGTGACCTATGGGGACGGCCGCTCGCTGGGGAGGCGCTGAGGGTCCAAACAGCCCACATCCAGGAAGCTCCACTCGGAGGGGTCGGGCCCCTGGGGGGCGGGGGCAGCTGCCCGGCCCTGCCCCTCCCCCCTTCACCCGGGCTGGGTCAGCAGCTGTCCTGTCCCCGGGGCTGTCCCCCTGGCAGAGTCTGTTTGCCCCTGGCCCCCCCCCCCCCCAGTCACTGCGTGAGCATGGGACAAGCAGTCGGGTCACAGCTTGTTCCGGGGGCAGCGCTGCAGGGCCTCTTGCAGGGCCCCAATCACTCGGTCCACGTTCTCCCGGGAGGCGTTACAGCCCAGCAGGCCGATCCGCAGCACCTAGGGCGGGGGCGGGGCGGGCGCAGATGTCAGCCTCTGTCTGCGGCCCTGCCTGGCTGTGCCTGAGGTCAGGGCAGAGCCAGCTGGTGTCCCCTTGTGCGGGAGGAAGTGGGCGGGAGGGTCCACGCGGCCTAGGTCACTCCCCGTACAGCCCCCGGGGTTCAGAGAAGGTGCTCCCTTCCTGATGCCCTGCTGTCCCGGGTCCGCAGACGACCGCTGACCTCGGCCTGCATGTGGCACACTCAGCACAGAAGGCCCCCCTCACCTTCCCCGCCGAGGGCCCGAGGCCGCCCGTGATCTCGATGCTGAAGTGGTCCATGACGTAGCTGACAAGGTCTCTCCAGTCGTAGCCCGCAGGTGCGGCCACGGTGGTGACGGTGGGCAGACGGATCGCCTGCAGGACAGGCCGGGCTCAGCCACCTCATGCCATCACAGCCAGCTCCACCTGCCCTGGCCTGGCCAGCCCTGGCCGCAGGCTCCAAAGGGGCGGGCAGGGGTGCATGTGGGGGACGGAGAAGGGGCCCCAGGAGAGCGAGGTCACCACCGCCCCAGGAGCCACGCCTACTGGCTGGTGCTCAGGGCAGGGCTTCCAGCCTCCAGGGACCCCTCTGTGTGTCTGGCTGGCTTATCAGCTGACCCCCTACCCCCAGCCCCTCCAGGATGGTGTCTGGCTGGCGTTCTGGAGGCCGATGGGCGTCCTCCAGCTCAGGGAGCACCCATAACTACTCCAGACGGAGAGGCTCTGGGGGAGGTGGAGGCATCCAACTAAATGTCCTGAGATCCAGAGGCCGGGAAAGCGTGACAATGACGGGGACCCCAGGACCGCCCCTGCCCCCACCAGAACTGCATATCCATAAAGGGGGCTGGACAGGAGCTCGCCCTCCCCCCACTGCCATGTGATGCCCTCTGCCCCCGCCCTCCTCACCGGATCCTTCACGAAGAGCTGCAGGCCCAGCCCCTGCAGGCGCCCGTGCAGGTACTCTGAGGCCTCGCGGTGCTGCTGCCAGCTCTTCTCCAGGCCCTGGGTGGGGAGAGGGCAGTGGGGTGGGCAGGGTGGCCTGGGGGCCCTCCTCGGTGGGCAGAGAGGGAGAAACTGGCTGGCATCCACCGGCGGGGGGGGGGGCAACTTTGGCCGGGGGAGGGACTCCTCTCCTGGCCTGGACCCTGAGCGCCTCGGGAGCCCCCTGGAGCCACAGGTTCAGGGCCCTGACTCTGCCCCAGGGGCCGGGCCTGGGCTATCTCAGGGAGGTGGAAATAGTCTGGGTCTGGGAGGGGGACGTGGCGGCCCAGCCGGTTGTTGGATCCTCCAGGCCCCTGGGAGGGGTGGGGACGACCTGGCCAGAGGTGGGGGGCTGGCCGGGGGCAGAAAGGCTTCTGGGCTGCGCGCTGCCTCCTGCCCTCCCAGCCGCTGAGCCCACAGTCCCCACTCCACGGGGGTCCAGCCTCTCCTGCCGGCACAGCTCACAGCCGTGGCCCAGTCCCCTGCCCCGCAAGTGTCAGCTCCCGGCCTCTCTCTCGGCTGCACAGGTGGCCACCCAGCCCATGGGACACCTCGAGTCTAGCCCAGCCCTGGACCGGTGGCGACGTGAGTGGACGCAGGGGGCAGACGTGGCTGGTGCAGCACTGCAGCCTCGCTGGAGGCAGGCCTCGGCCCAGGTCTCTCCCGGCCTCTGGACCGGCAGCTGGCAGGGCCCCTGGGGGCCGTCCTGGGGCTGTGTTTCCTGGCCTGGGCCAGACTTGGCCTCCTGGGTCCCGAGAGTGTGGACCTTGCACTGGGCCAAGGCACCACCCTGGTCGTGGTCACACCCAGTTGTCCCCACGTGGCTCCTGCCCACACCCTGGAGCGGGTAGTGGCCGAGGGCACAGCCAAGCCTCCTGACGGTGGTCTCACACCCCCCCGCCCTCTGGCTCCACTTCTTGGCCGCCCGCCCTCTCTTCCTCCCACCTGGGCCCTCTGCTCAGCCAGGCCCGCGCTGAGCACGTCACTAAGAACCTAGGGCCTGGAAGGGGGTCCACGCCTGCCCTGTCGCCGCATCTGCCCTCAGGGCTCTGTCCTCCGGGGCCTCTACCCTCAGCTGGCAGCCGGCTCACCACCCCCCGCCCCCCCCATGCCTGCCCAGAGCCTATCTCCCTCCCCACTCAGGGCTACTCTCCAGCAAGGCCCCCAGCACCTCTTCCTTCCTGCGGGCCCCTCAGCAAACCAACCAGCAGTTCTCCGAGTCTTAGCATCCCTCTCACCCCCTGCCCCCAATCAGCTTGAGGGAATCTCGGGGCGGTGGGGGCCGCCCAGCGGTTCGCCAGCCTCAGCACCTGCCGGGTCCCAGCCCCACGCCGCTCGGCTGCCCTCTGCTCACCTGCTCTGCTAGATGGGCCAGGCTCTCTCTCAGGCTGTACAAGCTGACGACGGGGGTGGTGTGATGGTATCTGGAAGACAGGAGGGCGTGGCCAGGTCACTGGGCGGGGCCAGGGCAGTGACTGTGTCTCTCCCAGCCCCAGCTGGCCCAGGCTCTCTGACGACGGGTCGGCCCCCACCCAGGGGAGCGCGGTCCAGCTTGGGGGCTACAGACCTGCAGCCAGATGTGGGGAGAGCCTGGCTCAGAGCAGGGCACTGGCCGGGCTGCGGGAAGAGGCTGACTGGGCTGGAGACCAGGCGCTGGCTCCCACCTGTGGCCCCAGTGCCCCACTGGGCCCACTGCATAGGGCGCAGTTCCTGGTGTCCTTGTCTACGTGTGTCACGTAAGGGGCCTCGGGTTAGGGTCAAAGTCACCTCACAGAGAGCCCCCCTGCCCCCCCACCCCCCGAGAGATGGGTAAAGCAAGGCCCAGGATTGGGAAGATGTGCCAGGCCAGGTCCAAAGTGCCTGCAGATGCGCTGGGACTTCTGGGAGGAGAGGGCCCATGGAAAGCGGGGTGGGGACCATGACTGGGGGGCCTCGGAGGAATGGGGGGGACCCCTTTGGGGGCGTTGAAGGCCTGGCACTGGTGAATCCCGGGGCTCCAGCTGGGGTGTGAGGGCATGAGGGTGGAGGCTCCCATCCCTTAGCACTTCCCTCCCCCTACCCACCCACCCCCTTTCCAGCCCCGCCCCCTCTCTCACATCCTGGGCTTGTCGTCACAGCCCCAGAAGTTGGCCAGCCACTTGATGTCCAGGTAGAAGGAGAAGGGCTTGGTCTTCCGAGTGTAGATCTTATTTCTGGGGAGGAGAATCAGCCTGAATGCCCCCAGCCCCCCATTGCTCAGAAGTGAGCCAGATGGGTGGGGCCCCCAGGACCCCCGTGTCTGTATTCAGGCCCCTGGGGCCCAGCTGTGCCTCTGCCTCGAGGGTGTGCGCCTGTCACTCGGGCCGGGCTGATTCCCATGGAGTCACCCCAACTCATTGCTCAGGTCAGAGAAAGGGGGACCAGAGGGTCTGCTACATGGTGAGTTCAAACACGTAAGAATGGCAGAGGGGATCCTGTATGAGGAAAGTGTCCTGGGAACTTGTTGGAAAACCCGGAAAATTTGAAGAATGCACTACCCGTGGAGCCTCCAGACTGCTGTTCTAACGTACAGGCCCGGACTTGAGCTGCAACATTTCCAGGCTCCAGGCAGCCCCGTTCACTGCAGGCTGGCCCCACAATCCCAGCTGGTGGGACTCCATTCCTTAATGCCTATCCTTGTTTACTACTGCTCCTCCGAATTCAGTGGTTTTTATACACGGGCAGAATCCTTGGCTTGTCTCAGGTCTGAGGTCAAGGGCCTCTCTGTTCAGTCCTCCAGTTACCTGGCTGGTCCCTATGCTAAATGTATACCTAATGGATAAAGGCACAGAATTAGGTGACCCCTGAGATTTTCTCTAATTGTTTGATACATGGTACATTTATTGCTCACTTCCCTTATCCGTCCATTTATCTTTGTTTCAAAAATCTGAACATAGGGTCAGCATATACTTACGCTCAGTGTTTAATGGTGAAATTTAAACGTAATTAAAATAAAAATAGTACACCCGTAAGAAAGTGACAGAGAGGACACTGAGGCTGGGGGTCTAAAGATGAGGCCTCACCTTGCCTAGAAGAAGTGCAGCCTTGGGGAAGAAACTGTGAAGCTGGGGTCTGCCGGAGGGGCCTCTGGGGCAGCCTGGGAAGAGCTGCGTCCCCGGGCCAGGTAACCCCAGGCTGCCCTGGCAGCCCTCTCCTCCCCACCCGGCCCGTCCTGTTCTCTCCTTTCCTTCCCCCTGGTCTCCCCAACCCCTGCACCCCCGTGGGCTCCTCTGCTCTCGGGTCCCAGGCGATGCTGGCTGACCTTGAACCGTTAAATACAGGGGTTCTCCAACAGCTCCAGGTGGACGTGAACAGACCGGCGCCGCGGTCTGACCTCCGGACTCAGACCCAGATGCCTCGTTGACCTGCCTCCAGGCCTCTCAGACTGCGCCCACCCACAAAGACCTCCAGATCTCACCTCACATCCTCTCTGTTCCGTCACCTGGGTGCAGCTCACGGTAACGGCCTGCTGGGGCCGGTCCTCAATCCCCTCCCCCAGCTCACCCAGGCCTGGTTCAGGGTCTGGACAGCAGGGACATGGGGGGTGTTGAGGCTGCAGCGGGTGAAAGGGGCCTGTGCCTAGCCCGGGGAGCAGCTCCCGCATCTGCTCCTGGATGCTGAGCCAGGGTGGGGGCAGCAGCGGGCTGGCACTGCCCCCCATCCTTGGCTTGAGGCCAGGGACCTGCTGGAACGCTGGGCCCCGCAGCCCATACACAAGCCCCGGGTCCATGAGGAGCGCCTTCTGGAGGCCAGCCTGGCCAGGCCGCTCGGCCACACGCATGGCCCTCAGGCTGCCCCAGACACCCCGCTCCCTGGGAACCCAGAGAATGGGCTCACCTGTCCAGGGCGGGCACCTGTCCAGGCTGGGGGGAGCATTGCAGAGCACGGCCCGAGGAGCCGTCCCTTCCCTTGCTCTGTCCCTCCCTCCTCGGGGCCACCTGGCCTTGCTGCCCGTCCAGCCCTGGCTGGGGGCGGGGCACACTCACTTGGCCTTGTCGCTGAAGGAGATGAGCGAGGTGCCTGCAGGGGCGTTCAGGACCTTCTGGGAGCCCGAGTATAAGACATCGATGCCTGTGGAGGGGAGGGGCACATGTTCAGGGGCCGAGCCCCACGTGGGGGAGGGGTCACGGGGGTGCTGCCCAGCCCAGGTCCTGAGAGTCCAGCAGAAGTTGCGGGAACCTGGGACCCACCATGCAACTGGTGTCGGAAATGGGAGGGACAGTGTTGGAGGACTAGACCCTTACCCTGTGGGGTCCGACGCTATTGCAGGTGGGCTGAGCTAACGAGGGCACCCGTTAGCATCTGCCTGGTGTGGAAAACCCACACGTCTGGGGTCAAGCGCTGGGCGAGAGTGGGGGGTGGCGGAGGGTGGAGCAGCAAACGGGTTTTTGCTTCACATCTTTCAGTGCCCGTCCCCCGGGCTCCCACACAGCCTGAGGGGAGTTTCAAATTATGGGGCAGCAGCAGAGGGCGGTGGTCAAGCCCAAAGCCGGGAGGACGAAGGACCAGGATTCAGATCCAAGCCCTGCACCGTCTCTGACTCCCTGAGGGTGGGGACCCGAGGCAACTGCGTGCCCAGGTGCACGGACGGGTGGACCCGGAATGTTCTTTACGGTTCATTCCTAAAGCCTAAAACTGGGCGGACCCAAAGTTCTCCCGAGAGGAAAGGGGTGAAGTGGGGGTGTTCACACAAGCAATGAATATTCAGGAGCAGCAACACGAGCGACCTTGCTGACATTAGGTTGACGTCTGCTGACCCACAAGGTCCCGTGGAGGCCAGGGGGTGGGGGCAGTGAAGGCCAGAGGTCCTGAGCCTGGCCCTGTTGCTCCGCGGCCTGGGCCTCAGGCTGGAGCCTCCTTGCCCGGCTTCTCCCTCCACGGTGGGGGCAGCCAGCCTGGAGGCCCAGGGTGGGCATCCCGGGGACAGCACTGCCCCCCTGCTCCCATCCCCAGGGCCCCTCAGTGTGCCTGTCCTTTCAGAGCAGTGGTTTGGGGTCAGCCCAGAAGGCTCCCCCTTCAGCACTGGATCCCGCGGAGCAGAGCCCTCTGCAGAGGCAAAAGCGGACCAGGCCAAGTGGGCCGGGCAGCCGTGGACACAGCACCACCCAGAGTGGAGCCGGGCTTTCCTCCCTGAGGAGATGCTGGGCCTGGAAGGCTTCCCCGGGCTGGCCTGCAGGTGACAATGTCAGCGGTGCTCCCGGCGTGTGACAGACGTTAGGGGGGGTCTCCGCCCTGATTGGCAGGGGCCCTGGCACTGCCCCCACCCCTCTTCCAAGGCTCTGAGTGCCTTTCCAAATGCCTCCCCTGGAGGGTCCCTTCCTCCCGCCTGCCGCCCGGTCCTGGCCCAACAGCCCAGCAGAAACACGGGGTGTGGCCAGTCTATGGAGTGTGTCCTGCCCCGTGAGGAGCTGGTGGCTCTCCCACGCCTTGTGGGGACCAGCGCCTAATCCCGTGTGCAGCTGACAGACACGCAGGCCCTGGTACAGCACACCTCCCAGCCAGGGCTTCTGGCGCTTCGGGCCACCGGCGGGTGGCTGGGCGGGGGGCCCTCCCTTACCCTGCTGGTCCATGTAGATGGGGGCCCCGCCCAGGGATGCCACTGAATCCACCAGCAGCAGGCACTGGTACCTGCGGGGAGGGGCAGCAGAGGGCAGGAGGGGCTTCAGACTCTGCCCCGGGGTGGGGTTTCTGGAGGGGCCTTAAGAGCCTTTAGAAGGGCCACCGGGGAAGCAGGGGGAGCCTCCCACCTCCCACAGGGTTCCTCCTCCGGGGCTCTCAGCCCCCCGGGACCAGCTCTGTGTCTGAACCTGGGTGAGCCCCCGGCACAGCGAGCGTCACCCTGGGGGCCCCAGGTGGCCGGACCCAGGTACTCATGAGGCCAGCCAGGCAGTCTGTGTCCTGGGGGCTGGCTGGGTGCTCTGACTGCTCAGGCCCAAGGGCCGTGTGGGGTCCAGGGACCAGCCTAGCACAAGGCTGCATCTCTTCTGCTGACAGCCCACAGGGCAGAAGTCCAGAGCATGGGGAGGACAGAGTCCAGAAACAGCCTGAGCTGAAACCTCTGACTTTCCTCCACCTCCACATTTTCTTTAAAAAAGGCACAAAGAGTATTCCACGTGGACCTATGGGAGTCATAGCCCAGGTGACATCTGTGAGCTTGATTCACTGGACAGGACTCCAGGCGGCAGGTGGTCCTGGCTGGGCTGTGCCCAGTGGGCCCGAGGCCCCCATGGAGGATGGCAGCCCTGCCGGGGTGACCCTGCCTGTCGGTGGAGCTTCTCTCCTTCCATCCTGTGGTCAGCTGTCCAGAGCACAACTGCTGGTCCTAGGAGGGAATCCCTCCTGACCCCACGCAAGGCCCTGGGCAGCCCGTGCAGGGGTAGGGGAACCTGGCGGAAGGCAGTGGAGGACGGTGCTGCTTTGGGGCTCTGGGACCTCGGGGCAAGGGGGGCAGGCCCTGGCACCAAGGCTGCAGGGTCAGCTTGAGCCCTCCCTAGTCATGGGGCCAGGAGGGCAGTGGCGCTGGGGGCACACCTGACCCTGCTCTCAGATGGGAGGGTCCATCCAGCCTCGGCCCAGAGCCAGGAGGACCCCCGAAGACCTGCACCACCATCACACGGCAGAGGCTGGGGGGACCGGCCAGCAGCCCACCACACTCCCACCCTGTCCTCAGGCTGGGTCTGAGCTGTGCTTGGCTCTGCCCCCAGCACTGCCACCCTGGAACAGGCTCCCCCGAGGGACAGGCTTACCTGAGGGGACAGGCTCACCTGTGCGGACAGGCTCACCTGAGGGGACAGGCTCACCTGTGCGGACACCTGAGGGGACAGGCCCACCTGTGGGGACAGGCCCACCTGAGGGGACAGGCTCACCTGTGGCAGAGCTCCCCATAGCCATCGAGGGGCTGCAGCACGCCACTGGATGACTCCCCCTGGGTCAGGAACAGCAGCACGGGCTTGTGCTGGGCCAGGGCCTGAGAGGACAGAGGTTACAGCCATGGGCAGACGCAGTGTGGGGAAGGGGCCTCCGTCTGTCCTCCTCCCCAGGGACAGTGCAGATCTGGGCAGTGGGAGCTGGATGCCCCTCAACCCCTCCTGCCCCACCAGCTGACTGGCCCCCTCCCCGGGCCGGCGCACCCCCCATACCTCCTCCACCTCCCGCAGCGTGAAGTGGCCTCCAGGGTCCTTGATCATGGGGTGTACACGGGCTCCTGGGGGCAGAGTGAGTGGTGAGCAGTCCCCGCACGCTGAGGGGAGCCAGTGCTGGGGACAGAGGCCGGGCTGAGCAGGTGGGTCCTGTGAGGGCCGCCCATGCCTGCCCCCAGCCGCTGCTGGAGGGGGAAGGTGGAGTGTGCTCGGTGAATCCAGGTTCCGGGGTGCCGTTGATGAGAGCGGGTCCCTCAGCTCCACTGTCCCCTCCCCAGCCCACCTTCCCTGAGCCCAGCCAGGCCAGGGCACCCTGGTCCTTTGCAGCCCTCTCCACATGGGAAGTAGAGAAGCATCTGTGCAAGGCTGAGCAGATGGGTGCTTCCCAGCAGAGGGTAGCTTCAGAGGGGCCATGCATTTGATGGATGACTGGGTGAAGGATTGAGTGGGTGCGGGAGCAGGCTTTGCCCCCTCTGGGGCCTTGGGGCTCCAGGGAGGCAGGCCCTTGTCCTGCTCTGTCTCTTGAAGCCCTGCACCCCCGTGCACAGCAGGCCCCCAGTGTCATATGCAGGAGGCAGGGAGGCCCTAGGACCATCCCAGCCTCAGGGGCCTGAGGTGTGTGGTGGAGGCAGGGGAGGTGCTTGCCCAGGCCAGGAGGGTGGCCGAGGTCCGCTCAGGGTCCTGGACCCTGCCTGACCCGGGCTCCCCTTGAAAACCGGCATGTGCACTGGAGGGGCCCCGGTGAGGGGTCAGGATGCCCTCGGGCTGTCGGGGGTTGTCCATTAACCTGGACCGAGTGTGGCCACGTGTGGAGCTCACCAGGCAGGGGTTCCGTGATGTTTCCAAACCCGCGGTAAATCATTAAACCCAATGCACCCTAGGGCTTTCGACTTCTGTCTCTTCCTTTAGTAAATTTTACTCTGGAAGTGGAAACCCTGTCCATACCTCTGTATTTTGCAGCTCTAGAAACAGAGCTGTTTCTGAGATTTTGAGGGGGGGATGTCAGCTTCTGAAACCTTGTCTTGTGACAGAGTGGAGGTGGCCCCTGGGGACCTCAGACAGCTGCGGGGATGCTCTGGGTTCGTGCTGAGACCAGAGGAGTCCCTGCAGTGCCGTCCCCACCACGGGCTCCGGAAATAGCTGTTCCCCAAACTCCGGGAGACCAGGGGGATGGGGGCCCCTCGAGCATCCCGACGCCCACTTGGAGGAGACAGCAGGCTGGCAGGCAGGGGGATGCGTGAAGGGCGTCCAAGGGGGGTAAGTGCTCAGGGCCCGAGGTTGGTACCTGGAGAGGGGGGCTTCCAGGCTTCGTGCCGGAGGAGGGAGGCCTTTGGGGAAGGATGGAGAGAAGGGCCGCACCCCACGCCCGCACCGTCTCTTACCGATGCGCTCCCCGATGTCCTGGGCCCGCTGCCCCCAGATGCCGTTGACCCCGACCAGGAAGGAGTCCCCCGGCTCCAGGAGGTTGAACAGGGCGGCCTCCAGTGCGCAGTGCCCTGAGCCACTGACGGCCAGCGTGAGGGGGTTCCGGGTCTGGAACACGTACTGGATGCCTTGCTTGATCTCGTCCATGATCTGGGGGCAGTGGACATGCAGGTCACCGCCTCCCCTACTCCCACCCCGGGGAGAAGGCCACTCAGGGCACTGACCGCTGTGTCTCAGTGGCCTACCTGGAACATCTCCTTGTGCATGTGTCCTATTGTCTGCCTCCCCCCAGCCGCCATGACGCGGGGGGTCAGGTTAGAGGGGCCAGGCCCCAGCAGAAGCCGGCTGGGGAGGGACAGGGGCTTACTCAGGGCTTCTGGGGGAGCCACCAGCAGTGGGTGGGAGGCCATGGTCCTCACCCAACCTGCCGCCTTGTGCCCCAGGGCCGCACTGGCCGCGGTCAGTGCCCGGAGCATTTCCCAGCAGGCCCTGCACTGGACGACGGGCACCGGAGGACACGGGGGCGTCCAGGAGGTGAGCCTGGTCGATGGGTTTCTGCTCCACCTGCTGTCTTTTGCTGTGTGTCGTTGTTACCAGGCCGTTATCAATGCTTGTCCTGCACGTGAAGGCTTGGAAGCAGGGGTGTTGAACCCTCGGTGGGAGAGGAGGAGCCAACAAAGTCCAGTCAGTGAAAAACAGATCTTGGCAAGCTGCCCTCTGCCCTCCAGCCGCCCCTCCCTCTCCGTCCCCGAAGGATGCCCAGCCTGGTACACCTGGCTGGGCTCAGGGGGCCCCAGCGTTTTTCTTATGTGACCAGAGCGCCAACATTTCAGACTTGGCAGACCTACAGGCTGTGTTAAAACTACTCAGCCCTGCTGTGGTGGTGAGAAGGCGGTTACAAGGGTGTGGCTGTGTGCTAATAAAACTTTATTTACAAAAGAAGCAGTGGGCCAGATTTGGCCCAGGGCCACAGTTTGCTGATTCTGGCTTAGCTCCCGGAAAGACTCACTTTAGAAAATATATGCTCCACGTGTATAAACACACATATGTACACACTGAGGACATGTCCATTCTTGATCCTTTTGGAGTATTTCCTCTGCCCATCTACACCTGAGGGCCCCGATGATTGGTCTCCACACACGTAACTAAGGGGTGCTCACTGGGGAGCCTCTGCAACTTCTGAGTCAGCACGTGGGTCGAATAAATGCGACCAAGACTCCCTGCAGGAGGAGCCAGGCCCAGCCCAGGGTGGCAGCCCAGCAGAGCCGCTGGCGTCCTGGGACATCGAAGGAGCCCTGCGTTGTGGGTGACCAGGCCAGGGAGGCACTGGACCGGATGCTCTCTGAGTAGCTCTTGCTTCTGACAGCTCTCAAGGGGCTGGGTTGGAGCTTGCCAGGACTTCCCGTTCTGTGTTTAGGGATCTGACGCCTGGGCCTCAGTAACCAGGGAGGCGTCCAGGCTTGCACGGAGCCTCCATGGTCGACAAGTGACTGCACGCGACCTTCCCCCATGGGGACTTGCCCCTCAGCTCAGCAGAGCCCTGCATTCAGCACTCGTTGCTTGGGTTGGGTTCGTCTGGCATCCTGGGGTGGCAGGGACTCCACAAGCTTTAGCCAGGATGGACGGGCATGGCCTGAGCACCTGGAGACCCTCACAGCCCTGCTGGGTCAGGGCGCCCTGTCCATCTGGGAGGAACAGGCAAAGGGGACAGGCCCCGAGTGGTGGGCAGAAAGAAACTCAGGGAAGGGGGGCCAGACATGTCCCTGTTGGCCCAGGGCAGGCCTGCCACGCCACCGCTAGCCTGGCCCTGTCCTGCACAGGGAGGCCCAGCGGGCGCCCCCTCCCTCGCTCCTTCCTTCCCTTCTTTCCCCAATGCCCCGACATCTTCCTTACCAAGCGATCCCTCTGGGCCAGGACCCAGTCTGGCAGCTCCAACTGATGCAGTGTCAGCAAGAGGAGAAGCAGAAGCCCCTACCGGCGGCCGGCGGGTGGGGCAGAGGACCTGGGGTCTGCGACAGCCTCCTGGGAGCTGAGAGGAGATGCCTGAAGGGCCTGAGAGCCTGGAGGAGGGGACAACCCCGGGGGGCTGCTGGGCAAAGTCCGTGGGGGCTTCGGAGCTGGGCCTTGGAGAAGGGAGAGGCGGGCCCACCCCAGGGTGGGAGGGGTGGTGAGGGCCTGCTAGGCAGAAGGAGCTGCAGGGAGCTGGGCACAAAGGTGGAGGCCTGTGTGAGGGGGGCCTGTGCAGACCCCTGCTGGGGCCAGCAGCCTCAGGTCTGGCCCGGCCATGGTGGCTGGGGCCCGGTACTGGCCTGGTAACACCTGTGCGGCACTGGGCCTCTGGAGTCACAGGTGTGTCAGCCCTGCCCAGCCCTGGTGCTGACCTGCCACAGCTGAGGAACCTTCTCCTGCTGGAGGGGGTGCCAGCCCCACAGCTGTGCCCACCCTGGGGGTCCCCTGCCTGCTGGCAGCGGGGGGACCACCCGGTCCGCAGGAAAGGCCCCTCGACTCTGCTCCTGCCCTGGCCATCTTGTCTGCAGCCACACGGTCCCTGGGCTCCTTCCCTCAGTCCCTGAGCCCAGAGTCCTGCTCGGCCCGCCCTCCGCCCACCTGAGAGCTGCACCACCTGGACCAGTGCATCATCGGGGCCTCCCACCAGGTACACTGCTGCCTTCGCTCCAGTCTAACAAATGTCTCTGTGCCTTTGCACGTGCTGTTCCCTCTGCCTGGAAGGCTTGTCCCTTTCTTTGCTCAGCTCCTCTGGCTCTTTTCTCAGAGCTGTGGCCAAACCTCCCGTCCGGGGAGCCATCCTGTCTGGAGTTCCTCAGATGTCCTTCCGTCACGCCACAGGCTGCATGGGCCGCCCTGTCTGTGTAGGCCTCGGGCAGGACCCCACTTCGTGCAGCTCTGAGGGGTGCCCAGCGTGGCACGTCGGGGCAGGAGAAGCCTGGGCCCGGGGTTGGCTGACCCGGCCTGGCCGGTGGACGGGTGGGGGCAGCCCAGGGAAACGAGGGAGGTGTGTGTTCTTTGTTCCAAAATAGGAAGATGTCCTGTGTCAACGTAACCGGGAGGGGAGTGTTGCAATCCAGAGAGGCGTCTCCTCAGTCCGAGAGCAGATTGGGAGCCGCGAGCCATTGACGCCAGCGAGCAGCGCGGCAGGTAACCGACCTCTGTCTCCCGGAGCCCTGGAGACAAGGGCCACCCGGCCAGGTGGGCTAGGCAGTTCCTGGTCTGGAGGCCAAGGTCAGCACAGTGCCGCCCGGAAGCTGCGTCTTGTAGCTCCGGAAGGACCAGCCGGCTCACCCGGGGCCACCCTGCGGGGCCTTGACCCAACAGCCGTGGGGGCCTGGGAATGAAGCGCAGCTTCATTCGCAGCTCCTGGGAATGAAGGCAGCTCCTGGTGCCTGCCCGCGGCGGGCTTCCTGGGTCCAGCTGCCCGTAGACCCAGGGGTGTCTTAGTCTCCCAGTCAGTGGTGGAACCCATAGGCTGATGCCTGCCACACACTGAGCCTGGTTTTGAAATTTCACTTCTGGTTTCCCACAGTTGACGTGAAAAGCACAAACGACTGCTTTTGTCTGAGGGTCTGCAACCTGCCGCACCCCAGAGGCGCGTCGTGAAGGCAGGCGGTGCCCTCTGTCCCCTTGGCCCTCCGGGCAGACAGTGACCTTGTGTGCCGGTACCGACGGGCTTCTCGTCCTATTTACCAGCTGGGAGTCTCCACGGATGCTCTGTTTCAAACCTACGGCTAAAGCCAGCCTGTCCTGACATCCTGGGCCAGAGGAGGCCGTCAGAGGCCCACCGCTCACATTTTCACAGACAGCCCGCCAGGTCCCAGACGGCCTGAAACCCGCAGCCTCAGCCAGAGCGGCAGGACCCCCAGGGCTGCCTGGTGGGAAATGCAGCTTTGCCTCAGGGTGTCCGGCCCAAGGCGCCACGGCCAGGTCACCACCTGAGTGGTAGGGGTGGGTCTCTGCTGGGAGAAGGTCAGTGGGAGCCTGTCCCAGCGAGCAGCCCCTGCTGTGGCATCACGTGCCTGGGTATTTGTTTAGTTGTGCCCTGGCAGGTCCTACAAGGGCCAGGCTCTGGACACCATCGATTAACTGCTGTTCCCCCACCCACCCCCGGTCCAGCATGATGCTGCTTCCCTGTGGTCAGGGCGCCCTGGGTGAGGACACCAGGTCGTGGGGTGGAAGCCTGCACCTGTGGCGAGGGGCCAGGAGCCCAGCAGAGGGCACCACCCAGCTCTGCCTCGGAGAATCAGGACTGAGCAGTCTCAGGGCGCTGCCACAGGTATGGCTCACGTGCTTCAGCTCCACTACGATGAGGGTGGACAGGCGACTTGCGGCAGCAAGTCACCCCCGTTCTCCAGGCACTGAGCAGGCAGACGAGCCCCCGGCCACGTGGTGACGAATGACACGTCGACCACAAAAGCAGAGCACCCTCGCAGAAAAACCAAGCGTTCCTGGGGCTCTCGAGGTGCCTGCTCTGTGTGCTGTGATTCTCAGGGCCTCATGGGGGGCTCGGCCCCTTTCCCATATGGGTCCCTGTGTCATTCATAATGTGACAGTTGTGACAAACCAGAGAGGATCCCGGAGGCTCGCGCCTGCCCCGTGAGGTGGGAGCTTTGGCCAGGCTGCATCCCACGTGCCCTCCGGCTCCCATGGCCAGTGCCCCAGAGGGACAGCTGGGTACCAGCCTGCTGAGTTTACTAAGAGGTAAAGAGATACTTTTGAGTATTTCCCACTGACGTTTGGACTTAAAACATTGCTTTTTGAAAATTAATTTATTTGTTATTTATTTATATATATTTTTAAAACATTGCTCTTAACACAGCAGAACCGGGGTCTAGGATCGCCCAGGGTGCCCCACCCTCTCACACTCCAAAACCCAGGAAGTAGCTATTTGTATGTCCCACCTACAGAGCTAAGGAGATGACACACACTGGCCTCGCAAACATCACAGAAGTCAATCCAGGCTTTGCTGTCAGTCGGAGGATACATTTAGCATCAACTTTAACGTCAGTTTAAAATCCAACATGAGATGAGGGTCGTCGAAACCCGGGGCACGAGAGTTTGCGGGAAAGTTTGGCGAGACTCAGGCCGGACTGGACGCGCATGCCTGGAGCTTCCTCCCGGGAATCGCCGCGGTGCAGGCACTGAACCCTCTCTGACTGTTTTCCTATTAACGGGAAGCTGCAGTTTAGCTGCAAGGTAAGGTGAAAGGTCGCCCCGCCCTTCGTGTTTGGGATCCTAGGGACCCGTTCTGTTCTCTTGTCAGGGACTGCACGGCCTGTCCTGTCTGGCTGGTCCTGCGGAGGCCGTGAATACAGGTCCCCGGTGGGGAGGGAGCTGGCCCAGGGCCCGCAGCTGGATGGGCTGGACCAGCACCTTTGCTGGCAGCGCCCCTGACCCGGGCCCTGGGCTCGTCTGAGCCCCGCCCCCCGCTGCTGCCCCCGTTGCCCACACCCGCATCTCTCTGTGCCTCCAGGGCTGCACAAGGGCTGAGGGCACTCTGCCCGCCGAGGTCTGGGAAGCAAAGGGGTGTCTAGCACCCCAGACTCTCCCATCCAGGCTCTGATCTCCCCAAAGCGCTGCCCACTCCCCTGCCGAACCCTCCAAGCTGAGGACGGGCGCATAGGGATACCTCTGAGGGTGGCCTCCCGGGAGTCTGGGCAGGACCCCTGAACTCTGGAAGGTCTCAGAAGTCAGAAGTTCTGTGATTCTGGGGGAGCCGCCTCTAGCACTTCGTTGCCCCCACCTGTCGGCAGGCCCATGCCTGGCTGGCGTGTTTTCCTCAGTGTTGGGGGCGGCGGGGGGCCGGGGCGGCGGCCAGCACTGCCCTCCTGGAGTCCACTCTGGGTTCCCAGAAGAGAGAAGTCCCCTGACCCCACCCTCGGGACTCTGGGAGCCCCACGCAGGGGCTATAAGCAGACTCTGCGTCGGGCCCAGAGACGAGGGCCTGGCCTCCTTCCTGGAGGCGGCAGCAGCGGGCAGGGCGTCTGGAATGGCCTCCACTGTGTGGCCTGAGCAGCTGCTCACCCCACCTGGACCACAAATCGGGGAGGCGCTGGCATCACGGGCCACGGTGAGCAGGGAGACCGGGGCTGCCTGGCACACAGGTGCCAGGTGCTGCAGGGCCATTGGGCCGGATCACGTTCCTCTGGGCCTCAGGAGTCAGAATCTCAGGGATTTTTTTAAGGCCTCCACCAAGCTGAGCGCTCCCCCCATGCCGGGATAGCCTCACTCTCTTCTCTGAGGCGACCGTGGAATCCAAGCCAGAAGGCGGGTTGTCTGCGAGGACTTGATGCGCAGGGCAGGACTGCATGCGGCTCTGCAGGGTCAGCCCCGCCTCCACGTGTCTTCGCTGCAGCCCGCCTTCCCAACACTGGTGCCAGGGGAACAGGCCCCTTCCACGTAGATCTCAGTGCTCTCAGGTGTTGTGGGTTGCACTGCGCCCCCCAAACTGTATGTTCTGGTCCTGACCCCTGGTACCCGTGAATGTGACCTTATGATAGGTCTCTGCAGATGTGATCCAGGTAAGACAAGGTCATCCTGGGCACAGCAGGCCCCCATCCCATGACGGGTGTCCTTACAAGGAGAGGGATATTTGTACACAGATACAGACACACAACAGAGGCCATGAGGTCGGAGGGACGCAGCCACAAGCCGAGGGACGCCAAGGATCGCCAGCCACCAGCAGAAGCTGGAGGGGCAGGAAGAAGCCTCCTTCGGACGCTTCAGAGGACTGCGGCCCTGCCCACACCTTGACTTTGGACGCCTGGCCTCCAGAACCAGCAGAGAGCACATTTCAGCTTGCGGGGATGTGTCACAGCAGTCCTAGGAAGCTAATACAGCAGGGGACCCCTGACGCTGGGGCTTTACCTTTGGGTTTTGCTGTCAACGGCTGTTAAGTGTCGAGAGCTAGGGCACTGCTGGCCGCCGCGCTCCAGCCTCCCGCTGCCCGTCGGCGCCAGCCCCGTGCTCCAATCCCCATACCCCCTGGTCCCACTGCCTGGCACAGCTCCTCTGAGGGCTCGTTGGCGTCTCTTTCACAAGCCCTCACTCTTCTCTCCAATCTCACACCCCCAAGATTTCTGAAACTCTGATTCAGCAAACACAAAAGTGGAAGGTGTTCTCTGGCTACACAAGCACTCGGCTGATGACAGGGATGCCGTCCCTGTGGCCGCTCAGCCCTCCCGGTGGGCTGCCAGCCCTGCCCCACCTCCGAAACTCACCCAGCTCTTACGGAAAGAGATGAGAAACAGCCCACGTCCCCTGGGACTCTCGTGCCCACGGCCCTCCATGTCTGACCCTCACTGAGAGCTTCCTAAACGTCCATTGCCCTAAACGCAGTTACTTCTGGGGGCCGGGTGAACGCTGTTGGAGGAGGTTGGGAGACCTGAGTGGACCCGCTTCTTCCTGGGGCCTGGCCCTCATCAATCACTTAACGTCCCCGACTGGGATTGCCTCTTCGGCAGGAGGTATAGGCGCCCACCCTCACTGGCATCCCAGGGGTTTATGAGCATCAAAAGACAGTACGTGAGAAGACACTTTGCAAACTCTTGCCCTGAATCACCTTGGCCTGATGCTATGGAGAACCTGGGGGACTTTGCTATTCTCAGGAATTTTCCCAGGAAAAAGAATTCAATGCCTACCTGACATTCAGCTTTTAAGTTGAATTTGAAAAGATAAAAGTATTATATGCTCACCATAAATAATTTTTTAAAAGACAAAAGAAATTTAAAACAAATCAAATGCTTGGAAACCCTCTATGGACACCAGGCCCCTTTTACACTCTATGTTCATCTTGCCGGGTTTTTGTCTGCATCACTGAAATCATTTAATATACGCTGATATTTCAGTGGCGTTAACACCGGAGCCTTCATGGGTCCCTGAGGGAAGGATACAGAACAGGTCAGAGCCGATGCTGCCTTTCACTCCTGAGACAGTCGGGATGCTCAGAGTTTGTCCGCCTTTCCCGTTCCAAGTTTTTCTTAATGAACAGGAAAAGAAACGATTTCTTAAGCCATTTCATAGACCTTCAAGAGGCAGAGAGCTGATACTCTCATTTGTTAGTGTGTCGGGTGAGCAGGTCTGTCTGATCCAGCTGCAGCTAAAATCATTTACCTTGGCGTTTCTAGAGCAACATCTTTTCAGTGTCTCTCCCTGACATCCCGGGAGCTGCTTTCCACCTGCTGTGGAGAAAAGGGTTAACAGGCAGGCCTGCCCGCCTGAGAGGCTGGCCCTGGGCTGGGAGCTCCCAGGAGGGTCCCCAGCCCCCTCGTGGAGGAGAGGGCCTCGCTGCCCCTAAACGTTTGTGCTGGGAGTCTGGAACCTTCACCAGGCACAGGTGCCCGCGACCACTCCCAGGAAAAGCCCCAGGCGCTGTGTCTCTGACGGGCTCCCCGGGGAGACAGCACCTCACAGGTCTTCACGGCTGGTGGTGCGGAGCTAAGCGTGTCATGTGAGGGGAGGGGGCTCTGGAAGCTCACGCCTGGTCCCCGACTTGTCCCTGCGCCCCTTCCTTTTACTGATGTTGCTTTGTATCCTTTCTCTGTCCTGAATCCAGCTGTGAGCACGGCCTCTGCTGAGTCCTGGGGGCCCCCTAGCGAACCTGGGGGTGGTCCTGGGGACGCAAATATGCACAATTGACTTTTTAAAGCTCAGGGAGTTGAGTGTTTTACCACTGGCAGTGCTGTAATTAGATCCATGTTTCTGTCCTCTGTTCGGCAAACTTCAGCCTCATTTCTTTCCTGTACTGAGAGACGTTCTGACGTTGTGCTTCATTAATTCATGTTTTTGTTTGTTCACCGTCATTGGCCGAGTCTACTCTGAGTCAGCCATATGAGAATAAATGATTGTGCATAAGATGACAAGAAAACCCGCGGGCTTACGGTTCCCACATGCTGGCCCAGGGGAGGGACAGACGCAGCTGCAGGCTGTGGCCTCCGAGAAACCCAGGCGGCAGCAGGGAGCATGTCCAAGGTGGGGACAGGCGGGCAGGAAGCTCTGAATCTGACAGGGGAGAAAGGTTGACCGGGGCCATGAGGGTGGGAGGCACAAAGGGCCAGCCCCAGGGAGCCAGCAGCGTCAGCAGCAGAGGAAGGCACATTTGGGGTCTCTCCTGAAAGCCCCGCAGAACCACAGACTCTTCCTGAGCAATGACGGATCCAGCAAGGAAGGTGCTTTGAGAGCTGGCCAGGAGAGGGGGCGCCTCCCCTGGTGACCTCCTGTGTGTCTGGAGTGCAGAGGGTCCCAAATGGGAGTGAGTATCTGAATCCCCAGATTTCTGCTCAGCAGGACTTGGGTGGTCCCGGGAATCTGCATTTCTGGCCAGAGATCCTCAGCAGGGAGCCCGAGGTGGCCAGGATTCCCAGGGGATCTACAGGACAGGGAGGCTCAGAGGGTGTGGGTCTGGGGTCAGAGGTCACCTGACTCCAAAAGCCTGTGCTTGGGCCCTGGGAGCCTCCAGCCTGGGGATGGGACAGAGGAGGTAAGGGGACCACGTGCTGGCCCCCCGGAGAACAGCAACAACCAGCGGCCAGCCTGAGACCCCACAGGATGCTTCACATTCTCCTTCCTCAAAACGCAGCTTTCTTGCTCTTCCTGATGGCAAAGTGACACAGGCTGGTTGTTCCAGGCGGGCACAGGGGGACTGCAGGAAGGTCTAAAGAGGACGGTGCCCCTTACCCAAGATCCCACCCAGGGCAAGGGCAGGTCTGCTGGCTGGCGAGAGCGCCAACCCTGCAGAGGGTCTGGGCTGTGCACATCGGCCCCAGGAGGTGGCTAGGCACTCACCTGCCTGCGCGGCTGTGCTCTGAGCAGTGCGACAGTGACCCCTGCGGAGTCTGCGGGGACGTGCAGAGGCAGAGATGGGTGAACCGCGGGAAGGACGCGGTGGTGGAACCTCACAGGGGACAGTCACAAATTTAAAATGTCTTCAGTATGAGTCATGACAGAAACACTCGAAGCAGACACAGATGTAGAGCTCATAGAACCTGGTTCCCACCAGCAGCCCAGGCCCACTAGCCGTCTACATCTTGTCGACCTCATTTCTTTGATCTGGTCCCCCAGCCCCCCACGTTCACTTGTCTAATTTTCCCTGTTTCAAAGCAAATCCCAGACCTTGTGGTGTTTTACCTGAATCTTCCAGTGTGCATCTAAATAAATGGACATTTTCTTACAGTCCCTCATGCTTAACACAACTAAATCAGATTGCTTAATATCGTCTAATGGCCCGTCCAGAGACGAACTTTCCCGATTGTCCAAAATATGACCTTTCAAAGGTGGTTGGTTAGGGTTGGGATTCAGACTGGGTCCCGGCGCCGTGTGCTGCTGGGTGCAAGTCTCCGTTAATGGATGACCGTCTTTCTTGCACCGGTGGAAATAGGCCTCAGCAGGAAGATTGTCTAAAGTCAAATCCTGGCTCAGGAGGTCAGGGTGGGGCCCGAGACTCTGCATTTACAACAAGCCCCCATGTCATGGAAAGCTCTGGGTCTCAAGGGCTTTGCTGGCTGCCCACAGCCCCTGGCCACCCGGCCGGCCTCCTCTTCCTGCATCTCTGTCACCCCTCAGCACCCCGGGGCACAGACATCCTGTTCCAGGAGCCTCTGAGAGGGGAGGGATGAAGGGACAGGGCAGGAGGGTCACCTTTCCCCAGGGTCTGAGGTTTGACCACATGGGGCCCAAGGCCGCACCTGATTTCCTGGTGGGAAGGGTGAGACTACCCTGAGAAGGGTCATCCCAGGTCAGGAGATGTCCCCTTCCTCAGGACAGACCCCTCCCTTCAGGTTCCTTTCCCAAGACCCCAGCTCAGACCTTCACCCAGTCTTGCTGGAAACCCTGGGGTCCAGCTCCCAGCCTGGATGCCCCCCTTGCCTCTGCCCTGCTCTGGTAGGGGCTCTGAGAATGTCAGCACGTCCTTCTGTGCTGCCCCTGCCCCCAGACCCGGTATGTGCGGGAGGGCGGGTGACTGAGGTCGCGGGCCTCCTGCTGACCTCTCCCCCTGCCCCTGCCCCCCAGGAAGCTGGTGCAAGGCATCCAGGCTCCTGAGAATCCAGACATGGCCCAGGAGGCTACAGACAAGGCTGGGGGAGGCGTCGGGGAGGCCCAGGAGGCTACAGACAAGGCTGGGGGAGGCGTCGGGGAGGCCCAGGAGGCTACAGACAAGGCTGGGGGAGGCGTCGGGGAGGCCCAGGAGGCTACAGACAAGGCTGGGGGAGGCGTCGGGGAGACACCAGGAGGCTACAGACAAGGCTGGGGGAGGCGTCGGGGAGACACCAGGACCCCGAGAGGACGCTTGTCCTCACTGTCCCTCCAGAAGCAAAGGTGGTGGGAGGTCCTGAAGGGGACTGGGGCCCCTCCTCTGCCAGTTCCTCCTGGGAAGGGTTGAAACCAAAAGCCCAGGGGGTGGTGGGATTCCCGTGTGTTCCAGAAGCCCAGGGTGTGGGGAGAGGGCTCCTGGTTTGCCCGTCCTCACTTCACAGCACTTGACTCAGCCAAGCCTGGCGCCCCTCAGGGAAGGTAGGCTGTTTAAATTCCCTGTTTATGAATTAGGACACCGAGGCTCGGAGCAGGGGCCGACTTCCGCAAGGGCAGCTCCATTACAGTGGGGAGGAGCGCGGGGAGAGGGGAGGGGACCAAGCCGGCCTGGGGGAGGAGGGGCCTGGACCTGTGTCCACCCAGACCGCGGCCACCGTGAGCACACGCTGATGGGCGTCAGGGGTGAGCTGGGCTCCCGGCTTTCAGCCCTGGGTGTGAGTGTGGAAAGAGCAAACGCTGGGTCATTCCGAGGGGTGCTTGTCGTCAGGGCCTCAGCCCGGATCTCCCTGGGAGGTGGCAGGCACCCCCCAGCTCAGCCAGGGCCGTGGTCCTCCTGGGGGGCGGCGGTCCCAGGCAGGCAGGACCTGGTGTGGCAGCTCACGTGAAGACTCGCCCACCAGGAGCGCTCTGCTAACCTCCCTGTCATTTCCAGACGCATTCCGCGTCCTCCCTCTCTCCCCACTGCTCCCAGCACGTGGCTCAGACCACGAGGCCACCGGCATCTTGCTCCGTGTTGACCCGTCCGAGGGAGCTCGCTCTTCTCCGTCAGGGCCTGCACAGGCCTCGCCTTGGTCTTGGGATCCCCTGGTGCACTGCCGCCTCCGTTTCACCCATTTTTCCCCAGAGATTGCACCTTGGGCGGGAGGCGTTCAGGCGCCCAACTCAAAGCCCGTGGCCACTTAGTGAGGAGACCTGAATGCACCGGAGAAATCGAGGCTTGGGGTGGCTGGCCAGAGGGACCACAGCCCCATGCTCATTCCTGATGAAAGCTTAGCCAATAGCAGCGTCATCGGGGCGTGGGGTGGCCTCCAGCTTCCCTCTCCTCTGCTCCTGAATAGCGGATGAGAAAGAAATGATCCCCAAACTGCTTCCTCCCAGGTCAGCCTCTCTTCTGACAAGATCTAAGACAAGATTTCACTTCAGCCACTTTTGCTGCCCAGTTTGTCCCTGCGATGCCATCTTCTGGATTAAAGCCTCTGTGAGCTGCGTTTTCTTGGGCTGAAGCCCCGCTGCGGGGCTTCTTCTGCTCCTGAGAGCCCCACATCCAGCCAGTCCTGCAGAGGAGTTCTACTCGCGGGCTTGTCTGCACAGAAGAGGTCCCAGATGATTGATGGATTCTTCAGAAAAATAACAAGCCCATCATCATATGGAGGGAAACACAAATTCGGGGGAAAAAAACACAGACAGGAAGCTACCAACACCAAAAAGTGTGGAGGTGAATGACCTCTGAGTACAAAAATTCTGGGTTTGGGAACTTAACCTAAGGGGTCGGCAGAAGTGCCTAATTAGCGGAAGGGGCTCCAGGCAGCCTGTGTGAAGCAGGTGATGGACACGACCAGTAACAGAAGGTCGTCTGGACGAGCCGTGGGATGTTCCAGCGCTGACTGCTGCAGTCGTGGAGCCTGATAGAGGGAAATGGTATGAGATGATATAAATCACATTTTAGCGGGACAGAAGCCGATGCCTCTGCAGATGGAGCCGCCAAAACAGTGGTTCTCAGCCCAGCTGCACACGTGGGTCAAACCTATGAGCCTTAAAAACAGCCTGGGCCAGACGCCTCCACTGATTCAGTCAGTTCCGGGAGGCTCAGGCATGCTTCCCGGGGATTCTAAGTGCAACAGTGGATGGGATCCACAGCTTTAGAGGGGACAGTGAGAATTCACTATGGCTGGTTTGAGGAGAAAGGGGTGTACTGAGGGGTGCTGGTCACCATTCCTGACCATCGGGACCTTCTCGGGTTTCCAGGAATGACCCAAAGCCATCTGACTGACCTGGGCCACCAGGAAGGGCCACCAGCCACAGCAGCCCTCTGCCTTCAAAACCCCTGTGAGCTCACGGGGTTGGCAGAGCCTATATCGCAGCAAGGGCTACACAGCCTCTGCAGGGCAGGAAAGCACACGTGGTGAATGAGCCAAAGCGCAGTGCCCACACGTTCATCTATTTTGATATCTCGGCATAAAAGATAGAGTGATACGTGGCACCAGGTCAGACGAAGACCCCGAGGATCTCAGGGTCTCAGCCCTGGCACCTGTGAATGTCATCTTATCAAGTAAAGTGTTTGCAGGTATGTTTACATGAAGGATCCTGAGATGGGGACATTTTTGTGGAGTATCCAGATGTCTCTAGACGCCATCACAAGAGCCCTTATAAGAGAGGGACAGAAGGAGATTAGACACACAGAGAAGGCAGACAGTGTGACAATGGAAGCGGGGAGTTAAAGACGCTGAGATACTGACTCTGAAGATGGAGGGAGGGGCCACGAGCCAAGGAGTGTGGGAGAGGCCAGGACAGATTCTCCCCTGGAGGCTCCAGAGGGACCCTGCT